GCGTAGACCTCTTGTGCATCATTATTAACGAATTAACATAACAAGACACACCTCCAATATGACTGCTGATTTATGAAATCGATGCGTAACATGAAGCAAGCAGTTACAAATTAAGTATGCAGATGAAGATTTACAACCATCCAAAAGCCCATCTTGACGTCTTGCTTCGTATATCTATGTTCCTATTGGATAGAAAATGTCGTCGTCACACGCAATGGCTGAAAGCGCTCTGCGTCCAAATCGCGTTCACGTACAGCAAAGATAATGGAACCAACTCAACTTTTCGGTGCTTACTGTCTTAATAATGCTTTATTTGAAAATATATTTTGAAATTTCATGTTTGTTGCACACATGATTTACTGTCTTTTTAGAAATAATGTTTGAAATCCTCGTCAGAATTGTAATTTGGTTCACCAGTAAAGTTTCTCTACCACTGTGAACAGTTGCATAAGGCCATTTTTTTCTGTCCCTGTTACCTCGGTACTTTGTAATTTGCCATTCAAGTATCATTACTTGAAACACTGTTTTATTTGTTGGGTAGGGAGGTTGCTATTCATAATCACTTTAGGAGGATGACTGCATTAAGGAGTGCATCAGAATTATAAAATCATAGATGTCAGATGTAACAGGGACAGGAAAAAAGCGGACCCCAGATTTATCGAATGAATGACCCAGAAATACGACCCTATACAAAAGCATTCTAAACAGTTGGGTAAAACTTGGCACTGAGTGAATGTAAGATGGCAATTATACACGATCATCCACAAATGAAGCTTTTAAAAATCCAAAACAGTTTGTGATGCACAACCATTTTAGCACCGAAAAATGTTTTTTCTATTTCCTGTATTTTGTTGTAACAACATTAGCGTTTTGATATATAACAAAAAAGCAGCATTTGTACGGCGCATTCAAAAGCAAAGCAATCATTTATATTGCCATAATACAGACCATTAGCTGCATGAAAACAAAAAGAGCCCATTAAAGCAGCACAGCGCTAGTCACTTGGACCAACTTTTGAAAAGTTGGATTTTGTGCTCATTACAAAAAGGACATTGAATAAGCTTTCCAATGATGTGTAGAATATCAGTATTGGGCAAAATATGCCGGATTCACAGGTATTTTCAGTTGACTTCGCAAATAATGGGCCTTGGAAACTTTGAAAAAAAAAAAAAAATCGAGATTTTTTTCGTCAAATTTTCAAAATGAAGTACTTACGAAATTTAAAAATTAACTCATTGGAAGAGAAATATATTCATTATAGTCTAGCTTTTTTTCAATACATATTTTTGCCTGCACAATGTATAGTCAACTCTCCTTAATATTTATACAGATTCTGGTTATAGCAAACATTAAGCCTTGGTCCCGACTGTGAATTGGCGTGCACAACTAGAAAACACTTTGAGAGCGCAAACCTCTGCCAAGGCTGAACAATTCCCTGCCATATTGTCAGTACACCCACAAGAAATTCTCGCATAAATGGTGAAGAATCTTTTTAAAAAAAATCCTTAATCAAGACCCAGATCCGGATCACTTCCACAATCTAATAGATTTGTACATGAACTTGTATCAAGGACCACCCCTAGAAAATTGTTAATGAAAATCCGTACATAACTTTGTGAGTTACCTTGTTAACAGACAAACCAACCAACCAACCAACAAACTAACCAAATCCGATGAAAACATAACCTCCTTGGCGGAGGTAATGAAAGGGATTGACACTCAACTTAATACAAAAATCTGAAAGAACAAACATTTTGCATGGTCCGGCTGAGTTAACGAGAGTCGGTTGGACCTCAAAATATGGCCTTGAATCCCGTAATGGAAGGTCACATAATGTCAAACTATGAGATGGTCTCTGCTTATAAAGCCAATACATGTAGATCCCTTACACCCTGTTTAAAATGCTTACATAAACTTGACAACTTCTAGCTTGATACAATCTTTCTCAACAACAACAAAATTATGGTAATAATAAATACAAAGTACAAAATGTATACAGCATAATGTTCAAAATTGTACATTTAGCCTACATTTACACTTTCGAATTTCAGCAAGGTAGAACTACATTATTATTTATATTAGAATTATTTTTCTTAATAAAAAATCTGATGAAATATAAATTCTTGCACCTCTAGGTAAAAAAAAAATTTGAAGGCAAATTATTAAACACCAGCTGAAAGACACATACATGCATTATGTTCATGTTTAAACATAAACATATTGCTTCTCGAAAAAGTTCAAGTAAAAAAATAATTAAAAAACTCGGTGCAGTTTATTGTTACAAAAATAAATGTTTTGAAGTTAAGGCAAAAATATAACATCTTTATCGGAGGTCACGTGATCATGAATTTGAATTTGACACATGAAAACTGAGTACCCTGTCATTTGCATAAATTGATGAGTTAAAGGAATATACAACATTTGCCTTTTCTGTAATTTGTAATCTCGAAGGTTTTGCAAAACCTTTTACATTAAACAATGAAAGATTTTAATTCATATCCCTTTGAGTTTTTCCTGCATCATTTAAATTGGAAAGAGACGTTGAATACACTCTTCTTTATAAAAAAGGGATTGAACACTTTTGCATAGTACGGTGCATGTATAATAATGAATGTTTGAGTTTCATTCGGTGGTCCCCACAATTCTAGTATAATAACAGCATGTCCCTAAAGAGTGTCCTCTTAAATATTTGTGAAATAACACTTCGAAATTTCTCATTTGTGCAGATCCTATAAGTTTAATTTAATTTCAGTCACGCATCACTACACAATTAATCACAACAACATTTTTGGACACTGTAACCAAGTTCCTTGCCTTATTCAATTTCAGTACTGTGTTATGTAAGCTGTGTAAAATCCTTCATGTTGTGAAAAGGGCTGCAGTTGGGATTGGAATCATTTGCCTAGCTATCAGTCATCATGGCAAGACCTCAATTTAATGCTCAAGGGCAAATGATTCCAATAAAGGTTAAGGCCAAGGATTAGGACTATTTGCACAATTCAAAATTTTCAAAATTTACTTTGTGATTTAAGCAGACACTTTTCGGACGTATTATATTTTATAAGATGGAATTTTGTGTCGGGGTGATATCAATCAAATTAGGTTTTTTGCCCTTCACCGACATTTAAACACTGTATACTCAGTGTGTTACCTCCCGAATGAAAGTTGGGAAAAATCACTCGGGTGGAACTCGAACCCACGACCTCCTGCTTTCTAGTGCAGATGTCTTACCACTCGACCATGTACTGCTATGTACATCAGATTCGAACCAGCCAACCGATCCCGTTAGCTCGGTGGTCGAGTGGTAAGACATCTGCACTAGAAAGCAGGAAGTCGTGGGTTCGAGTCCCACCCAAGCGATTTTCCCAGCTTTCATTCGGGAGGTAACACACTGAGTATACAGTGTTTAAACGTCGGTGAAGGGCAAAAATCTAATTTGAACGTATTATATAAATCTGTATTTCCAATGCCTAAACCCAAAGTATTAAAACTATTACAAAAATATATATTCTGCATAAAACAATGAAAGACTTTCGAATTTAGTGATTGAAAACTTTTGCATAGTACTGTGAATTATTTACTTAATGAATAAGCATAATGGTGCAGACCTGTTAATAGCCTGCCATATACCTCAGTGATAATTACGCGTACTTCCAAAAAGTATCAAAATTACTCTCAACTCTCCAAGGTATTTGAGACAAATTCATATAAAAGCCAATTTCATCATCTTTCATTTTCTGTTAAAATTTTGAATGGTCATCCAATGACTTTCGGGAGAAAATTCCATCCAAAGACAATCACCCCTCAAACTAGTCCTGGGGTCCATCACCATTTTGAAAAATGATGCCTGTGTTGCATTGCGAAATAGAGCAATGTTGGCGCCCGATTTCATCAAATTTCAAAGAAACGCTGTACGAGCTCGCACTCCTGTGCACGGCTGCCACCCATTTTTTTTTTTTTTTTTTACAAACCTTCAAGTTCATGGCCCACAAAATGCTCTAATAGCAAAGAAATTGGGGCATACAAATCATGATTTTGTCTGTGTAGGCAATTCTGGACCTATTCAAATTTCTGCACCCATAACCCAGCATCCCTACCTGGGTAGCAGTTTTGAAGACTCAAGGTATTGCTCTTTGTTTTTATTGGCCTAATGGCAGTACCTGCAGAAAAAAAATCCTCAAGAAGCTTCTCAACTCAATGTATATTATTTTGATTCCAGTGGAGTGGAGTGCCATGACCTTGTGGTAAAGGGCATTGAATTCGTGGTCTGCGGGTAATTCTGCAGGTTGTGGGTTCGAGTCCAGCCTGGGGTCATGGTGCGTGTGCCCTTGGGCAAGGCACTTTGTCACCCATTGCTTCTCTCCACCTAGGAGTAAATGGGTACCTGTGAGGGCAGAGATGGTTAATGTGATTGAATTAGCTTGCTTGCGCCTAACATGCAGCATCGAGCTGTATACTCCCCAGGGAGCTGAGATGGTATTTGAAATGTTTAATTGCCCAATGATCAGGGGTAATAATAATACCGTAAGCGCTGTGATTAAGTTTACTAATAAGAGCATTCTTCAAATGCCGATTTTTATTATTTCAGTTTTTGTATTTGTATTAATCTGGAAAAAGAGCATATGAAAATATAAGGGTAAGTACATATTTTTTAAAATCACAGTACCAGTCTTACAGTGTAACTGTCCACAAGATATCCAAGATGAATTCTACAGGGTGAGTCAAACAAAGCGAAACCCAAATGTCAGGACTATTGTACGTAGGTGTACGTTCTTTCAGCAAAATGAAAACAATTCACACACATCCCTATGTGATTTGTATTTGTTTTGCTGAAAGAACACTTACCTTCTTGTGATCCGTGGACAGCACTTTAAAACGGTGGTTGAGTTCCGTAACTTCAAAAGTACATTTTTTGTACATGAGTGATTTCAATGATTTTTGTACTAAGAGAAAGCCTATGAATTGGGCTTTCATATCCTAGATTTTGAAAGTGCTACATGCAGAATTTCACTAAAACAATGGTCCCGACATGTGGGTTTCGCTCTTCTTGACTCACCCTGTAGAGGTCATCCGATGGTGGCAGACTTGTTTGCTTGCGAAGTTCTTTCACCCGCAGTCTGGAAAAAGCATAACAGATGGAAAACAGCCTCAGAAAAACTTTTCAAAAAATCCCTTTTATCTTAGAAAATAATTTAACTACATGTATATGTGCACTAAAGTGACTGCTACATATAGAGCATCATTCCTTTCAGGGGCAAATATTTGAAATCTGACTTTTGAAAAGCTTTAGTGCACAAGCATAAATTCAAATTTAGTTTTATGAAAAACAAATACATATTCTGAACATTGAAAAAGCAGCTGAAAATAAATGTTGTTTTAGTACACTTTTACTTGTTTATTTTTGTTTCAGGTTTTTTTTAGCCAATTTCTACAATGCCTCAATGTTCTCAAAAAGTTCCTCATAAAATGTCTTATTGGGTTGGAAAAATTGTACAGTGATTCAGCTTTTACACAAGAATTACCTGTGTCACTGTGGAGTGTGGTGTAGCCGCTGTTCATGTAGTACCGAACACCTGAGGAGATGTGTACGGTGTTGTTATTTCCATCAATGACAGTGTGAATTTCAGTCGCACTCTTCTCATATGGGTCTTGGTTTTGGGGCGGGTTGGAAGTGCTTGTGCCGTGTGCCACAGATGCAGAAATAGAAGCAATGCATGCACCTGGCTGAGAACTGCAACGTCAATGTTCAACAGGACATCAAAACTTTCAGTTATCCAAGGTTACATCGCAGTGGTTTCATAGTGTATTTCTCACACAGTAAGCTACAACCATTTATCTTTTTGAGTCATTGGCACGATATAACAATATCGCCTTGGGTGCTATATGCACCCCTCGCATGTTAAAAACTTGCGACAGCAGAGACAACTGTCATACATGTGTTATTTACGTATAACTGGACTGCCTGTTTGAGCTCTGTCTGCTTTAGTCATTTGGTGAGTTTTCTAATTCTTTGTATAATATTTTCCTATTTTCACTTATTCTGTATAATTATTTTCAGTAAGTAAGTCCAGTTTTAATTCTTGGAAAGTTTGCTGAGTTATAGTAAAAGTTTATTCTGGTCAGGTTAGGAAGTCCCAGGTTGAACTTTTTCTTTTACAACTTTTGGATTTAATTTTTTTTCATTTACATGTACAATGTACATTGATTATTTGGCTTAAGACATGTGTTTTTACTTCTTTTGATGAAGGTTGTTCTTTTGAGGAAAGTTTCTTAGTTGATCTGTTTGATTCCAACCTTCGTTTTCTTTAAGGATATATAGAGTTTGCGTTATTATCAGAAAGGTTGAACGTTCACTTGGATTTTAGATTTTTTTGATTTTGTTTTCTTTTGCATATACTTTAACATTACGGTACATGTATAATTCAGGACCATGTGCTTTACTTTTACTTACAGAAAATAGTAACAGATTGGACAAGTTGATTATTACAAAAAAAAGTTGGATGAAATTTACCTTGTAGGCAGATCCAGTTCTGGCACTTGTTCCTCCTCATTGTTTGTCTCAGCTGTAAATAGATATCACATGAATATAAGTTTTTGACAATTAACAAATAAAATGCCAATATTGAACATAAATTAAACCTGCAACATGTGGAAGGTTTGCCATGGTGCAATGGAAAGCTTTCGTTGTTAGAAAAAAAAATGATAAGAACGGGGGTATCCGCTCCGTTTACAAGTACCCCTCACCATCTTGCCCGACTGCAATTTTGCCGCGACGTGCACCTGGCCCCGTACGCAAATTTTGTTCTCCAAAATTCGCGCCCTGTATCACTGCGTGTACTAATAGTACAAATCCCCTGGTGTACGTGCGTCACACACAAGAAACGGTGCGCGTTTCGGTGCGTGAGCTAAATGTCCCACCCATGGGATGTCGTTGCTAGGTAAAAGAGCGCCCTCTTTCATTTGCGCACGGAGCCCATAATGTTCTGATCATCCTATGGGGAAGTTCTGGACTCTGGAATAGATGCATCGTCAACTGCACTTCACCTGATACTTTTATCCACTGGTTCTTATTGTAAACAAAAAACAGACTCACAAGTTCAAAGCCATTTCAGAGTTGCATCCAGCTAAATTATTCTAAAGATTTGAACCAAGTGTGATGTTTACAACAATGGAAAGTGATTTTAAACAAAAGAATAAATGTTACAGTTTTTCAAAAATAGTCCAGTCAATTGAAAACCAGTACACAAAGTTAAAGGTGGGGTAGATCATTTGTCATTATTGGCTGTTTCAGCACATTGCCGAAACAGCTTTTCTTTTTTTTGTTTTTTCTTTTTCAGTTAATATTTTTGCCAATAGTATTTGAACATATTTTTTTGTCCTCGGCACTTTGGGCCCTAAAATCAACCCAACTGCCTTTATACAAGGCACACACTTAGACCAGCACCTGTTGATGTGTCATCACGCGTCACATGACATCACATTAAATGTGCATGACTCGAAGGCCTATATCTCAAGAACTACAGGTCCGATTGGGTTGGAAGTTGATTTATACCTACACTGGGTTGTTTTAAAGATGAAATATAAGGTGACGTCATGATAACGTCATCATGGGTCATGTGACGTCACGTTAAAGATGAACAGATTTGATCTTTGAAAATCAATAAAAATCAACTGTGAGAGACCTGAACATGACTTTTGTGGGAATTGATAGAATAATCCAGGGTCTTTATTTTTGATATTACGTGCAAAATCACATGACCTCGGAAGTGCCTTGTAATTTAAAATTGGTAATAGATGTGAACTTGCTTTCAACGATGTATGCTCTGGCTTGGTCCTTCTTTACAAAGAATTAACAGTGACGTTATAAAATGTTAGAGCGCTCTCTAGTGGCAGGTTGGAAAATGTTTAAAATGAATAATCAGTTGATTTGTGTGGCGAAGTTTGCTAAAATCACTTTATAATTAATGTGTATAATCAGCTTCATGCTAAAAACAAGTTGAGGGGTAGTCAAGGGGCTAGACATTGTTATGGTTTGATACTTCATAACCTGTAACCATGAGAGGGTGCTATCACGACCAACCAATCATGGACTTGTAAGGAACAACGTCTAAGGAATCTCCTGAAATCTCCTCCCGAAAAATGGGGGAATTACTAGTGCGCAAGCGCGACTTCTGCAGGCAATTACGGTCCATTTTCAGTCCTTTACACATACACATATTAAAAGAGCTGAAGTTGCACAAAGGTCTTGCTGCATCTGTTTTTGCACTGGAAGAAATTTGAGAGTTTGTTTCGATCGGAACTACTATAAATTCTTTGAATTGTGTGCTGCATATATTAGGCCAAACGTGTGCTCACGCATTACACAATCAAGACCAGATTCCCTAGATGTTGTTCCTGACAAGTCCGAAAGTTACAATATGACGTCACATTAAAGGTCCATTGTAAGGTTTACATGTATATAACAGTGTATAATGAAACTATTGGCCTTGATCACTCAGCAACTTTCTACTGCACATGTATGTCCTATCAGTCTAAACATAACATAAAACAAAATGCCAAAACAGCCATGTGTTTGTCCACAAACAGAAATCTAGTTTTGTGCATTTTTTGTTTAAAGCAATAAAAGAGCTCAAAATCTAAAGACGGGTGCTTAACAATTAACCTGATGAAGTTTTAGCTCAGTGAATGCTGTATATTCCGAGAAAACAATATTTTAGGATCTCGGTTTTAATTCAAAAATTGAAAAGTCATGTTTTGAATTGTGCCCAAAACTGCGCCCAGGACATGTTCTCATTCAGCGGATTGAACTGACAAATAATAGCAACCGCAACCATGTGTGCCGTGTTAACGCTTGCGCGCACCCATTCATGGATTACAAACTACCTACTAAGGCCCCCAAAAAAGTCTCCGGTTTCTGGTATGGAGCTTGCCCAAAAAGTGATGCGGCGACGCGGCTTTTTTTTTTTTTTACCTGACTTTTTTGCTTCAAATGTGTGCTGATGACTGCCAATGGTGTCCGACTAAACTTAGTGCAAATATATGGGAGTCCAGAGAGGCCACATAAAACTTATTCTCGACCATAACCCAATCCAACCTCGTCCCCAGTGCTTACTTTATTTCCAACCGCGTTTCCAATAGTAAACCCTGGATAGGAAACTTTCTTCCTGTATCCGGATTGGATACCGTAATTGTCTAGTAATGGATTTTTATCGTGTACTTGGTGCTATATTATTCACAACGTGCAGTAAGTGTTTTTGCGATCATTCGTCCACGCCTTCTCGAAAATACTAATTTCCTTTCCAATTTGCTCATATTAATATGAAATATAATACTGCATGTTGTCTCGATAAGATCGTAACAGTTTGATTTCAAAAATCGTGTTTTCGTAACTCACTCCGTACTCGCGCTGCTACGAATTGACTCTGTTTTTACCCCAGACACCGCATACAAAAACAAACGCTAATGTGTAACGCATATCCAGGCACCAGACTGTTCCTCATTTGCATACGTGTGCAAAAATTTTGCACATGCAAATGATCCAATACCAGGGTGAGAGAGCAGGTAGTGGTGGGCGCGTACTGCTCGACACCCTGGGGACGAGGTTGAATCCAATCTAAAAACACGTTAAAATTGTGCAGCAGCAGTATTCCAGTCAAACCAGTGAGTTTGGCAGTTTTGGGACATCATCTTTCATTAAAAATTTTTTTTTTTCATTTTGCCGACGCACATGGCTACGGCGACACGCACCCAAACCAGAGACTTTTTTTTTTGGCCTTAGAAAGGTACGCTAAAAGTGACAGCTACAATGTACACAACCTACCCTTACCTTCTCCATCACCATTTTCTACATCACTTGACGTAAATTTTACATAAGGTGATAATTGATGTTGGTCTGTTCCCGTACGGTTCGTTTTGGCACAAAACCAAATGACCCCAATCATGCCAATCACCATCATGACAAGCATGAGAACGACAATCACAAATGTGGTGATTTGATATGGGTGTTGATCTTCACCTCCTGCATAGCAAAAAGAAATAGGAGAAACAAATGTACAGCAATAAACTTATTGTTGAGAACCTCTATTGTTATCAAATACGATCCTTTCTATCTAGTTTCCACGGCAACATCATTTCATACACCATTTTCAGTTAATGATACAAACAGATAGGTTTTGAAGTTGACTGTTATATTTACAGGTGCGGATACTGGTAATAATGTCCGCCTGTGCACAAAATACGGACAGAGCCAGCTTGGTTAGGTGGTATTTGAATACTATTCTGTACTGGGAAAACATCATTCATACTTTACTATACAATAGTTTGTCACCAAGCAGTGCCCTTTTGTCCCACGATTGTCGGCAGTTGTGCTACCATGAAAACTGCTACCTATTGTCTGATAGTGCCCAGCCCACGTTCCTGCACTTTGAACAGCACACTTATAAGAAAGAAATGAAATACTTATGCACCTTCTGAAATAACACAATTTTACGGACAGTGGTGCGTTTCTCTTTCATGGTAGCTGGCCTCGCTTTCATAACGTGCAACTCGCGACCACGACTAAATTATGTTGCGGCTGCGACATACATGTAATAACTCGCAGCCACGACTTAATTCTCATTAAATCGTGGCCACGACTTAATTACGTCAAGGCTGCGACTACGTCAAGGCCGCGACTTAACTATGTCGCGGCCGCTTAGATATGTCGCGAGATATAAGTCGTGGCCACGTCATAAATAAGTCGCGGCCATGACATAATAACTTGCGGCCGTCACTTAATTATCTTGCGACCGCGTCTTAAATATGTTGCTGCCGCGACTCATTAACTCACGGCCGGTCCCAGCCTTGACAAGACATAACTCGCGGCTGCGACTTATTTATCCTGCGGCTGCGACTTATTAACTCACGGCCCTGACTTACTTATGTCGCGGCTGCGAGTTACATGTTATGAAAGCGATCGAGGCCATGAAAGAGAAACGCACCACCGTGAAAGAGAAACTCACCATCGTGAAAGAGAAAGAGGTACATGTACCTAGTGCCCTAACGGGCTCCGTACAATTTAATGTGGAGCACATAACTGACCTGCCTGTTTTTCCTGTGGTTGATTTGGATCAAGACTTGGCTGTGAACCATGTTGAGGGTAAAGACAACACAAAACCAATCACAACTCAAGCCGATGTCAATTCAAACTCAATCTCCATTAGATTATTCATTATTCAATCACAAGTCAAATCACCTACCAGTCAACTACAATTAGTCATTTACTAGTCGATCATCACCAGTCATACAACAAGCAATAGGTGACTGGATCTATGCCTGTTCGATGAACAGAACATCAAGCTTTTCTGAGTTTTCTTTTTTATGAGTTGGTTGATAAAATTAATCATGCGTATACTTTGAGCCATACGCCTGCAAACCAGTGTGCTCCTCCCACTGGGTTCCTTGATCGACAGTGGTAAATCCATGCGTAAAATAGACAAAATTGCAGGTAACATCATGTGGAAAGAACTCTCTTCTTGGAAGAAGTGTGGTTCTGAAAAGAACCGGTTGGTTGAGTGTAGAACTCGACGTTTCGGACAGTATGCTCTGCGTACTCAGGATATCCAGTCACACCCCACTACACATGCACGGCCATAAAACCTCCAGCGTCATCCACAGCCCATCACTCACCTACGTTCCTGAGGACGCACAGAACACACTGTCCGAAACACAGAGTTCTACACTCAACCAACCGGTTCTTTTCAGAACCACCCTTCTTCCAAGAAGAGACTTAAATTTTCCATATGGTGTTACCCGCAATTTGGTCTATTTTACATGTATATGTCCTCCGTCATGCAAAGTTTCAAGTCATATAAACATGTGTACTGTGTCATATAAACATGTGTACCTTGTGCCATACGCCTGCAAACCACAGCAAAGCGTTGTCTTAAATTCATGCTGTGAATCCTCTTTAAAGAGAAAACCTGACTAGCTGCCTTATATTCAGGTGTTTGATCAAGACTGTACCAGGGTTAGCGATCTCTCTTTTCTCCAGATTTTATCTCCTTATAGGGCAGTGTTAGCACCAAAATACCTACCACCAGCAGGGAAGAATTAATTAGTGCCTTTGACTGAACGACTTGCTGCATGGCATGCCTGAATCAATCCTCAGTGGCCTGAACGAACCTAGATTTTTCATAAATTAAATACCAAACTAATGAAACTATGTTAGTCCTTTTTTTGATCATTGAAATTGATGCACAAACAACGGAAATCATGATTTTGACTGACTGTGTACTATGTGGACTGGCCCCCTGTGGTGTAACTGATTGCCTTAAGGAATTAACCTGATAATGTTACACTGAGCTCAGTCAAGATTAAGGCCTAAACATCGAAAGCCTGGTTAATGAAAAGGGCCCAGGATTTTGAAAGGGAATTCACCTCATACATGTATGTCCATTCATAATGGCGTGAGGCCTAATTTACACAATGAGCCAGATCTGAGCTGATTCATGGTGTTACAGGATTATCCAATATCATACTATCCATGGGCTTAAGAGTCAATCAGTCAGTGACATAGGTACAAAGAGCAAACTTGGGTGACCCTCCGGGACCACTAAAAAGCCCTACTTATGCTTGAAAGTGTTCTCTGATGTGTACCTTTATTTCAGCTTGGATTGGCAGTACAGCATGTACAGCAAGGATGAGAAAGAAGACAGCTTTGCTTGCATCTACATTGTAGGCTTCTAGTTCTACCCTTGGGAACGCCCATCTGAGAAAAAAAAAGTATCATGGTGGTTAAGAATGCAGCTTGCATGAAATCATGCCGTGAATCCTCTTTTAAAAGAAAACCTGACCAGCGCGGCCTCATATTCGGGTTATTCATCAAGACTGTAGCAGGGTTAGCAAATCTCTTATAACTCAAGATTTTTTCTCCTAAGGACAGTTAAGCACCAGATGAATGCCAGCAGGGAACTAGTATCGCTTGACTGAACGACTTGTTTGGCATGCCTGAATCAAGTCCCATAAATGTGACTGAAATACTGGACTACCTCCGTAATTTCAGTCACAGTGCCACATATGTTGCCTGGCATTCCAAAATCTTTGAAGCCTAGCTCAGCAGAAGTCGTCCTGTGTTGAGGCGTGCGATCACACCCCCACGCCATCGAATGCCCATAAGCTTCCCAAGAAGTGTGAATAATCGCACGCCTGAATCCCTCTGTACCGCACACCTTGACATACGTTTACGGCATAATATACTTCATAATTTGTGAAAAAGTATTTTGTTGAAGAGAAAAATAACCAAGATGAATATTATAGAAAAATACAGCCCCCCCTTGAAACCTTGTCACCCCCCAGTTGGCCCCCCCCCCCACTGAGATTTTGAGTTTCTATCATTGATCTACATGACACCCCCCAATGAAATGTTCCAGCCCCCCCCCCCCCCCCCCGCCCTGAAAAATTCCTGGCTACGCCACTGAGTGAAAGTATCTCTGTATGTGATACTTCATGTCAAACCTTTTCAAAAAGGCGGTCACAAAAAATTAGGTCATTTTGGGCATGAAAATAGCGCCACCAATGTCCGTGGCGCTGGTTCAACCTAGCCTAGAAAAATCACACGCCTAGAAAAATCACACACCTAGAAAAATCACACGCCTAGAAAAATCACACGCCTAGAAAAATCACACTCCTAGAAAAATCACACGCCTAAAAAAAATCACTTGCCTAGAAAAATCCAGGTGAGCCTTTTTCTACACGTCTGTGATTGTTCTAATCAGAAGGACTGCAGCAGTGAAACGCGCCCTCTCGTGTGCGCTCTTCATCTGCGGCGGCGTATTGCATCTGGGTAATTCACAGAGCTCCAAAGATTTTGGAACGACAGGCAACAGCCGCGGTCTGCTTTGCCAAAGCTGACGTACGCTCAGTAGATGATTAAAGCTCTTGTCTGGTTCGGCTGACCCCATTGGCCTGTTGACTATTATTAGGGTGGCCGGGAAACAGCCTGGTAAATAGTGGGGCGCTGTGGTCCAATGGTTATGGTGTTTGACTCGTGTGCCGTGGTACATGGGTTCGAATCCTGACCGTGAGAACACAGTGCTTGTGCTCTTGAGCAAGGCACTTTACCATTATATTGCTTCGTCCTTCAGATGGTACGCAAATGCCGTACGTCCCGTGTGTTGTGTAATGCACGTTAAAGAACCCAGTAACATTAATCGCTAAGAGAACGGGTTCGCCCCGGTGTTTCTGGCAGTGGCTGCAATATGCGCCGCAGCACCTTGTAAACCATTAAGGTGCTACGTAATAGGTCTCATATTTCTCATAAAACTTTCTTTACCTTTCTTTAATAATTGACATAATTTCCAGCGCCTTAAGTACCTAATTGTTGGTAGATATGTGCGCTTTATAAGACTCCGTTATTATTATTATTATCAGAGACGCCATGCTTTTTCAAAACTGTCGAAATTCTTTGCCAAATTACCATGATTTTTGGATATCTAGACCTCTGAGGGTACCGAATTTAATGATTTTGTGCTTTTTAGCAGTCATACTATAGCTGGGTTGATTTTCTGCTTTAAGTTTAAGATTTTTAATTGATTTTCGGCTCCCCTAACAATGGGACCATCCGCGCACAGGCCATATGTGGCACTGTGACTGAATATTATATATGGAGGTAGGCTAGTCCAGTATTTCAGTTACATTTATGGGACTAGCCTGAATCATTCTTCATGCATGTGGCCTAAACGCACCTAGATTTTTCATTCATTAAATATTAAACGTAATAATAGTTTTTGTCAGGTAATATGATCAACCATGTTTTCTTTCTTTGATCATTTAAATTAAGATTCACATTTAAATTGTCCGACTTGTGTTCATGATTGAACGATATGCGATGTGGTCATCATGCCCAGCGTACATTACATTGTCCCCATATCCCGAGTGAGATTCCGTTACCGAGGGCGATGCATCGATTATGATAATGAGTAGACTGGATCATGTTTGTAAACACAACTGCATAGTGCATTTTCTAACGATAATATAGGGAGTCGGGAACTAGGGCAGCTTTTAGAAGCGAAAACCAGTTCAAGCTATTCCCGACTCCCTTTTACCGTTCGAAATGCACCTGTGTTTACAAATAAACTTGATCCAATCAAATTAGGTTTTTGCCCTTTACCGACATTTAAACACTGTATACTCAGTGTGTTACCTCCCGAGTGAAAGTTTGAAAAAATCACTCGAGTGGGACTCGAACCCACGACCTCCTGCTTTCTAGTGCAGATGTCTTACCACTCAACCACCGAGCTAACGGGATCAGTTGGCTGGTTTGAATCTGATGTACATGTACTCGGGAGGTAACACCCTGAGCATGCTGCGTATACAGTGTTTAAACGTCGGTGAAGGGCAAAAGCTTAATTTGATTTATATCACCCCGACGCAAAATTAAATTTCATCTAATAAAGTTATAATGAACGTGATCCAGTCTACTCATTATCATAGTTGATGCATCGCGCTCGGTAGCGGAATCACACGCGGGATACAGGGACTGTCTAATGTACGCTGGGCATGATGACCACATCGCATTGTTCAAACATTAACACACGTCGGACATTTAATGTGCTCACGATCGCGAGGGGAGTTCTCGGAATTGAACGGGAAATTTCACTTTTTTCCGGATCGTATGTAAACTTCAGTACAATCTAGCTCTACTGAGTGGAGCGTTGAATTACGGGTACCTCTCCATACAAACCCGTAATTCAACGCTCCACTCAGTAGAGCTAAGTACAACCTATTTATTATGATAGTGGATATTTTGCCGGAGGTAATGACGGCAAACTAACGATTACTAAAGGTTTGCCGGCGGCAATCCATATCAACAGAGGGCGCTGTACTCTTTAAAATAGGGCTGAATTATAACATGTATTAAATTCCCACCAAAAGTTGTGTAGCACGTTTGGTGTAGTGGTTAAGCAAAGGCTCTAGTGAGCGGGATGACTCGCGTTCGATTCCGACCGCACCACATTTTTAAGTTTTTTTTTTCTCATCCCCAAATAAATAAGAATAGGCCTATTCTTCTTTTATTATTTTAACATGTCTCAAACATTTTTTGCAGAGTATTACATTTTCTTTTTCAGATTTGTGGCTCTGGAGGATTTTTTTTAAACGCAGTGGCTATTGTTACGGCAGCCGTAACGCATTTCCCATTTTCTTTCGTTACGGTAGACTGCAACTTTTATAAAAATATGACAAGAAAATATAAAATTAGAAGGAAAAAAGTGAATTTGAAGGTGATGAAATTTGGACTTTATTTCCCTTTTAAAAAAAAATCCTCCAAAGCCTCAGGTTAGAAAAGGAAAAAAATTCGAGTGCCAAACCGAGATTCGAACCCGCAACTTCGCGGTGCAAAATCCTACCCTCTATCGACTGAGCTGTCGCACTGCTCGCTAATATATGGGGAAACAAATAATTATATACCTGCGTGCGTATCAAAAAAGTATCGTAGAGGGCGCTAAAGAACGACTGCCGTAACGATAGCCACTTCGTTTTTTAAAAGGGAAATAAAGTCCGAAATTATAAAATGGTCTGAATCCCATCTTGTGAATACGAGGTAACAACGATAATTTTGGCATGGAGCCAGACTAAAACTTGTCGCCGGAAAATGTTTTGCCTACAAAAAAACAGTAACTGCGCATGTTCAGTGCATATCCGGCAAACTAATGTTTACTAAAGGTTTGCCGTCTCCGGCAAAATATACACTGCCATTAATTATCGATGTCTACTTGAAGTTGTACCTCAGGTGGCGTATCTAGTAATTTGGAGGCCGTTTTCAGGGTAAAATCTGATGTTTTTGTTGGGAAATGTCGGGTTTTGAGTCAATGTCGCTCGGCATATGCGGTTAAGCTTGGGTCCAAGTTTAGGTCTAGACTCGGACCACTGTCATTTGTCAATGACTGTCATGACTATAGTTTACCGCCACTGTACTACTGGACTGCCAGTCTATTTTCTTAAGTTTTTGGACTCTAATTTCTAAATCAGAGAGTCCCAAATTTTCGGTGACTCAACGGATTTATGTTACAATGGTTATATTTGAGATAATTGGTGAAATAAAGATCAATTATTTACCGTAAAAACATTGTGACGTCGCTGTAATTGGAGTTGTCCCTGGGCGCGGCCGAATACGGACGAAACTGTATTATTCTCATAGAGTTGCGTCATACATTATGGGGGATTCCCCAAACTGGTTGCCGATGTATTGGGAGATGCTTTACTCGTACATGTATACCAGCGATTAAACTATTGTGCTGCGCGCGTAATTTTTTTTCCTAGGAGGGTTAGGGGCAATGTCATGAATAATTCAGTTTTTCCTTTGAATCATTGCAAGACTAAGGTTCTCGTTCTATTTCCCCCTTAATTTAAAATTATTTCAGTGATAAATTTGGAGAAGAAAAATAGCTGATGAAAATGAGCAGCGACGAAGTGGATTCGAACCAGGGACCTTTGTATCCATAAGCTCATCTCGCTATCCACTAGGCTACTGTGTGGTAGCTCGACGACAACCGTTCTTTAAAATGCTGTTGATGTCATTGTCCGTGTCATGGATAAACATAATTTCCCATCGAAACTACTGAATTATTCATGACATTGCCCCTAACCCTCCTAGGAATAAAAATTACGCGTGCTGCGCCATGTTGTTTCCCTTCATGCCTTGCGCGATCTTATCCCTGGAATTGTGTAATTTAAATGTGTCAAAATATGGCACATTATAATTAGGCTGCAGTTTATCCGTTTTACGTGCCGACGCCATCTTTAACATGTTAAAAGTTGTGATTTTGAAGAATCAATCCTTTCAAACAAAATGTTTGGGACGTTGCGTTATTTAGCAAAGATTTGTATTATAAAGACATAAAGTCCATCATTTGTAATTTGTGCATTTTGTTCGTTTGAAGCAACAAATGTGTTCAAAATCTAATGAAGGATACTGATCAACTTACCAGATGAAGTTGTTTTAGCTCAGCTTCAGCTGTATATTCCGAGAAAAACCAGCATTCTAGGATCTCAATTTCAAATCAAAAGTTGCTAAATCATGTTTTGAATTGTTTTGAATTGCAGCTTTACGCGATGTCGCGCACTGATCCGACGAATTATAGCATTCGCGCGCGCGTGTGCGTCGTGCCAATGCTTGCGTGCGCCGCGCCGAATAACAAAACGAACTACTTATTTAAATTTTCCTACGGTGCTTCCGAGTTAAGACGCACCGCTGGAAATGCCTTTTTCGTTCGTTGATTTCTTCAAAATGAGAGCTTGCCAGAAAGAATAATTTCACAAGGAATTTAGTCCCCTTACTATTTTTTAACCAGTATGTTTCTCAACTATAATTACGCCAGTTACTTTTTTGGAGTGCAAATGATGGACTCTGGCTTTAAATGACCCCGAGATACATAATGAATGTTTTGTGAGTGCAAGAATAATTTCATGAGGATGAAATGTTCCATTCCACGATCGAGGCGAAGCCAAGTGGAATGGAACATTTCATCTGTTACCGAATGAAATTATTTTTTCCATTGCACGAACGTGAAACATTCATTATTTGTGTTTTTTATATTACCGACATACAGATCCTTGTCATTTGATTAGTGGAACTCACATCACGTGACATTCGTTATTGCTCACATTCACGCCGCGGCTCAAAAGGTACTATCCGCCCATGGGAATGGGAAATAAAGTCTGGTTCCCAGACCAAACGTTTCTGACTATTCCTGATGAATCTTAGGTCCGGTAACCTCCGGTAATACATTGTATTACAATTTACGTCACGTGACTAAAACGGGAGGAATTCCTCCTTTTTCCGAAAATTTCCGAAGTTTGCTGAAGTCGTTTCGTCGACAATCGGATAGCGCCCGAGTATTTCCGAGTATATAATATAGGTTTAATTAACTGCTAATTGCTTATTAATAAGGGAATAACAGTGTGAGGAGCCGGTCTTCACTGCGTGATAATGACCGGGTGTGGGGGTGACCGCTGTTAATGGACCGAGTCTAACGAAGTCGAGGTCCATTAACAGCGGTCACCCCCACACCCGGTCATTATCACGCAGTGAAGACCGGATCCTCACAGTTATTCCCATTAATAAATACCTTTTTTAACGAAATAAACAGTTAAAATACTCAAATTTTGTGACTTTCTTTCGACGATATTTCCAGACTCGGTCTTCATTCGGCTCCGCCTGCTAACAGTGCTATTTGGGTTCCTAATTTTGAAGATTCCAGATCAACATTAGTCAATGTTATCTTACAGAAACATCAAACTGTATTATCATAACTGTATGATATTACGAAGCAGATGATTTATTTTAAAATTTGATCAGAACATTAAAAGCTACAGGCGATAAAGTGAAATCGGAAACGAAGCCGAGCTCCGCGCCGTCCGGGCTCCGCGCCGTCCGGGCTCCGCGCCGTCCGGGCTCCGCGCCGTCCGGGCTCCGCGCCGTCCGGGCTCCGCGCCGTCCGGGCTCCGCGCCGTCCGGGCTCCGCGCCGTCCGGGCTCCGCGCCGTCCGGGCTCCGCGCCGTCCGGGCTCCGCGCCGTCCGGGCTCCGCGCCGTCCGGGCTCCGCGCCGTCCGGGCTCCGCGCCGTCCGGGCTCCGCGCCGTCCGGGCTCCGCGCCGTCCGGGCTCCGCGCCGTCCGGGCTCCGCGCCGTCCGGGCTCCGCGCCGTCCGGGCTCCGCGCCGTCCGGGCTCCGCGCCGTCCGGGCTCCGCGCCGTCCGGGCTCCGCGCCGTCCGCGCTCCGACCCGTCCGCGCTCCGCCCCGGACCCAACGCCCTGGACCCCACGGCCTAAGGGTTTCACGCTGCGCGCTCGCAGGTCCTAGACCCTTCATTACAATTCTAGGCCCCCCGGCAAATGGCAGGCTGAATCCGCCCCTGTGAGAGCGCATACGTATCCTGTATCTGAAGTTTGGCCTTAGGGGTGACGGTTGTTTACACAAAGATTCCCAACGGATGAGAATCATGAGATCCAGGGGACGAAGCTGAGTAATTTTAGCCAATTACAAGAACAGATCCTAGCACTTCCGCAGCCCGTGTCACTTTTTTTCTTGAATTTCTTCTTCTTTTTTTGTTTAAATGCTGTTGAGGGAGGGGACTGCCCACATTGACCCCTTTACTCATATGTTCATCATATACTCTAAAGACACAGAACATGTTTCTTTTTTTCAAATTTACTATGCTTTAGCTCAAAAAGACAACTGATGGTCGTGGGTTCCCTGCCCTTCGAGTTTAACCCTTCGAAATATACCCTCTTTTATTTCTGGCGCCAACACAAACTCCCGACTTTTATTTTAGCGTTAAGTTTAGCTCACTGATACTATTTTTTATTTCTGGCGCCAACACAATTTACCATCTTCATTTCTAGCGTCATAACTTGATATCCAATTTTGAAACACCCCCCTTGAAAAAAATCCTGCGTACGCCACTGCTTTGCCATGTTTCACTTAATCAATTATGTTGTATTAGCTGGCAGGGGAGATAATGCATTTCTCACTCTCTACGAACTACCTTAAAAAGAATTGCCCAACCTCTGTTCATTTTGAGCATTAAGATTCAGTGCTTACCGGAGTTTGGAGATGATTCCGACGGAGGAAGAATTTGACAGGGGAAAATCTGCTCCTCGCCATACTGAAAGTATCACAAATCACAATCACAAATCATTTCACAACAGTGAAATCACGAGTTATTCACAAGTTGAATCAAAGTCAAGTCACATTACGAGAGTGTCTTTGCCGCTATTCATTTTGAATAGCGCGTCACGTGTGATTGACTTGTGATGACGCTGCATATGTGACTTGACTTAAATCATAACTCTGCTGAAGCCTCAGCCTACGGTTGCAGGCCAGTAATTCGGTCCGAAATTGCCTACGCCGGCAAATCACGATTTGAGCATATTGTGGGCCATGAACTTGAGGGTTTGTAAAACGTATGAATGGAAGCCGTGCACAAGACTGTGAGCTTGTGTTTCAGTGAAATTTGGATGAAATTGGGGCCCTTAAAGTGCTCTATTTTCCAATGGAGTGTAGGCATCGTTTTTCAAAATGGAGATGGGCTTCGGGGCTATTTTAATTGTGATCATCTTAGGATGGAAAATTCTCCTAAAAGTAATCAGATTACCCCAAAAAACAACTGAAAAGAATTATAATAAAGCTTTAATTTGGTGTGTGTCTCGAACACCTTGGAGTATTTTCCTCGAGTTTCTGAAGTGGGGGCAATTAGCATTGGGGTCTTTGGTAGTTTATTCACTAGTCTGCAACCGTAAACGGTTTAGTTTTCTTTCTGCGCTTACCGGCCATGTTGGATCCCCCGTGCAGTTATATCCCGGCAGTATAGTGATGAGGTCCCGGATGGTTCTGTTCCAGTCACTGTAGTCATCGGCAATGACACCATCGTAGTCATACTCAAAATCTAAAAGATCGGAAACAGTGTATCTTGCGTGGGTATATAGCCTGCTAGATATGACTTTCCGATCTCACATAATAGGCCTAGACTTAAAGATAATGATAGGTATTGGATCTTATTGAAACAATTATACGGCTTATAAAATTAAGCCCTAATGGCGGATATGTACAAAACAACCTCTTGCTGAATATATACATAAAGTGACAATGGTCAAAAGCATCATCTGCAACGCAAGTAATGAATTTTAATAGAGAAAGTTTTAGGGATAATAAGAAGTGCCTATGGGATGTTGCCTCAGGAAGGCGAGCGCATCTTTCTTACCTTCCGCAATACCGAAGACATCTACCTCTACAGCGAGCAGGAATATCAACGCAGAAAGCAAAAAGGAGAACCTTCCTAGGTCTTTTGATAAAGATATGATGAGCTACACGTAATTAGCGATCCGATACATAAATCAGCAGTGAAGTAAACGACATATGTGAAGTAATTTAGTTGTGTATGTAACTTAGTTGGTATGATCACAGAGTTTGATATTATAAATAGGCTACCAAGTCTTTGGATACGGTCGGTATTGCATACAGTCCATGTTCTGTACAATTGACATCCTCGTTTCGAGCAACTGCTAGTGGTCTCTGGTTTACCTTGCGATTTACTTTTGGGATTTTAAAAGATAACAAAGATATAACCTATCTATACACCACGTGATTTACCTGATGGTCTGATCACTTCATCTTTACGTGTGAAAGGCAAAACCATAATTACAATGGGAGCCTTGTATCAATGTATTACATCGGAATACATATGCAAATTTAAACTTAAACATTTGCCTTAAGTAACAATTTGACCCCCGCCCCCAAACAAATATTATCACATTTTTAAGCTCTGGTAGAAGCTTCTGGTCGGTCGGTTGGTCTGTCTGTCTGTCCCCGCGAAATAGACCAAAATATGCCCCCTGAGTTTCCCATAAAATATAACTACCAACTTTTAATTTTCAAAAAAAGCAAACAAAATAAATTAGATACATAACCAAAATTGTTGTAAAATTTCGAAAAGATATTTATGAAAAGTTTGTAAATGAGGCGAAATAATGTGCAGTAATGCTATAGTCACGTGGTATTTATCACAAATCACTCATAATCGAATCTAAAGTATGGTGTACCATATGTGCCATCGGCGTCGCATTTTTCGGCGTCGCATTTTTTTTCAGCTCTGGCAGGGATAATTTTGGCATGCAGGACTTTCATGCAAGACAGCCAAAGCTTACTCGCACCCGTTTTTTGTTTTTTGGTCACTGGGAAAGTTTCCATAAAAACACGATTTTACAGCGTTCAAACCATTCCCCCTTCTGGGTAAATTGCGATAATGATAGGAGGGCGCTATTTGGTTTGGGTTAACTTTGAGCAAGTTCGGGCGAAGTCTATAAGTCGACTGGTAGTTAATTTGGGACGTAACTTACGCCTGCGCATTAATGCAACGCGCGAACGCCTCTAGTCACAGATGGTCAAAATATCAGACCTGCTGGCTTCCCGTTGTGCCGCGGTTATTGGCAACCAGCAATGCAACCCTGCCCCATGCTCAGGCTCCGGTTCCAAATAGACTACTAGAGTATAGTCCAACCATGGCCAAACAGTCTAATTCGCGCCCGAACTAGCTCAAAGTTGTATATTTACCCAAACATATATATCCACATGAAATAGCGCCATCCTCTTGTGTTCGCTATATATCGAAAAAGCTAGTTGGGTTCTTGTCCGATTGCGATGGACGTAGTGGGGGGGGGGGGGGGGGGTGATGATGAGAACATCGGCAGTTCTCTGCCTCACTCTCAAAATTTCAAAACTACGAACAGATTTGTCCAGAGAATATTTTAGCTGCAACTCAGTCAATGTAACAATACTTGTATTCAAGGATAATTAATTGACCAGAAAAATCAGCGGCACCTGAACATTTAATCGAAAGCTACAATGATCGCAACGTGTGTTTTTCACTGATGAGATTTCTAGTCATTTCCCAATAGCTAGCTAACCAGTCAGACTTAGTGCCAGCTGACACTTGTTCTAAGAGAAACATTTTGAGTGACTTTTTGTAAAGTGATTATAGGCGCTTCCATTTGCCGAACTAAAAATACATCGACACAAAATAAACACTGAACGGTTGGTATTTGCTGTGATATCTTATTAATAGATTGAATGTACAAACGTGCCGTGCTGTATCTGCCTTTATATGCCTATTGTCAACATCGTAATCTGGAGCCCTATATTGTGTGACACTGAAACGTTCAGTATCTCAATCACAGCATCAACAAACGACAACTCTTTCGTCTAATCACCATGCAAGTTCAGCAAACTTTTACAATAATATTTTATCATAGATATCAACGGAATTAAAATTTTATATTGTACAAATATAAATATTGTTTTGATTTTGCTTAAGATAGGCGTGTGTGTCTATTCATGCCAAAAGAAACATTCGTGTACTAGGTCAAGTTCTTTTACTTCAACTTCATTTATACATGTTGACAAAGTTTCAGTGCAAAAGGGCACAAATGTATTTAAGCAAAATGTGTGACTTGCGGGATATCACGACTTTTCAGGTTTTTTGTTGTTGATAAATCGTTAACATCGTTGCTGGCCGGTGGGCACTGTTCAAACATTCTAAACTATTTATAATTTGCTTCAATATGCGGCTAGTGAATTATCGCGAAGGCTAGAGACTGAGATGGAGTGTTGTTGATACAGAGCCAGCCACCAACAGAACTACGCTCAAGAGAGAGGGGATGAGTCCGGATGCGTCTCCTTTATCGCCGCTACCGGGATCAAGGGTGGCGGTGGTGGCGCCCTCCATTCCCTCCTTTGACGTCATCGGTGGCCGCTGGGTTGTGACACTCTGCCGGCTGTTCACGTTAGTGTAGATAAATGGCGAGGCCTAGAAAAATAACACATGGAAGCAGTTGAGACGTCTAGGATCTATATAAATTCAAAATTGGAAGACACATGCTACAATTCTGCATGTCTTTTGTACTTTTGCTTACCGCTTATGAAGTGCGCCGATACATTCACAAGTTTTTGTGATGGAAACGCAGACTTTTGCAAAGTAAACTTAGTTGGTGGCTAAATATTATTATTGCCTTAGCACAGGGTGCGCATGCGTCGTACGCACATAAAAGTGTTGAACCTTAAACATTCGTTACACGAACTCCATTGAATGGGAGCTTGAAAGAAAAACAGGGGTTACCGGCGTGATCGGTGATAGGGCGGTGGACAGGAGCTAGAAAGACGTCGGCGTCAGTGGTTCATCCCCTGATTTCAACCTCGGCGATCGGGGTTCAAACACAGCCCCCCAAAACTAAGGCAGAATTTTAGTCCCTGCCTGATTCCTTCGGTTTTCCTGGAACTTTTTTTCATTGTCCTCTCTGAGTTCTTTGTGTCTACAGTCTATTGAGCTTAATACGTTGCCTTTGCACTTTTGAAGAAGATTTGGTTTCAATACGAGCAAGAATATAGAATAAAAGAACAAAAAAATGTTATTGAATTGATGAACTTAACTTACGTCAGTTGGGCAAGTAAACGGTCCATTGGGTGTCCATTTTCTCGTCTTGCTGCCCACTGGCTGCACCTGAATTTAAAAACAAAACAAAACCCAATACCCCTCAGTTTTCATCGTACTATCAACCTTGCCTACCTGGCGTCGAGCAGTACGCTACCACTAGGTGCTCTGAAGTTTTTTCCTGGATGGCCAAAAAGTTTGATTGGAGCCTTGCAATCGATTACGATTGTGGTGCGGGAACCAGCCTACCCCACGAGAACGGATTTTGTTTGTTGTCGGGTGGCAAGTGATTCAACATTTCTACAGTAATAATTAAACAACTAAAAGCCGATTTTCAGAGGATATCTCATTCAGAGTGAATAGCACCAGGAATGCAACGGCGTTGTAGCTAGAAGGGACGACGCATGTGTATGTCGTGAATATAGTAGTTTTTAGCATTTTGTTTCTGTGAGTGTGTGGTAAATTTAGCCGTTTTTGTGAGGTGAGACTTCTTAGTTATATCCCGCTTCTTTCCGTGGATGTGTGTCTGCGCAAGCGTGCATTTGGATGTCGGAGATTTCAACACGTCATGCAACTTTCGACAAACTCGCCCCGCATAATTCGTTGCAACAATCACAACCCATATCTGCTCAAGCTGTTATGGGTGCAGAGTGCAGACCTCAGTGATAATTATGCGTACTTCAGAAAATTATCAGACATAATATACTCACAACTCTCCAAGGTGTTTGAGACGAACATCAAATTAAAGCTTATTTCTCAATCTTTCATTTTCTGTTCAAGTTTTGTTCAATTATTTGATGACTTTTGGGAGAGAAAATTCCTTCCAAAGATGATCACCCCGAAAACTAGTCCTGGGCCCATCGCCATTTTGAAAAATGATGCCTGCGCTCCATTGCAAAATAGGAGCCCAATTTAGGGCCCAATTTCATGCGAATTTCACAGCAATACTAGCTCACACTCTTGTGCATGGCTTCCTCCCTTCTTTTTTTCTTTTAAAAACCTTCAAGTCCATGGCTCACAAAGTGCCCTAATAGCAAAGAATTTGAGGGCATACAAATTGTGATTTACCCCGCGTAGGTAATTCTGGGCCTATTTAGACTGCACAGGTCTACACCCTAATGAGATTTCGCCCAAGCTGAAGCCAGGAGCTATGTATGCTGTCCTGTAACATTCTGCATGTCCCGGTGTAAACTTCTGTACGTTGCAGTAAAACTGGACCCCTATCAGTAAGGCCAAAAAAAAAAGTCTCCGGTTTCTGGTATGCGCGCGCGTCGCCGTAGCCATGCGCGTCGGCAAAATTAAACAGCTTTTTTTTCAATAAAAGATGATGTCTAAAAACCGCCAAACTCACTGGTTTGACTGGAATCCTCCTGCTGCACAATTTTAACGTGTTTTTAGATTGGGTTATGATCGAGAATAAGCTTTATGTGGCCTCTCTGGACTCCCATATATTTGCACTAAGTTTAGTCGGGCACCATTTGCAGTCATCAGCCGACATTTCAGGCCAAAAAAAACAGGTAAAAAAAAAATAAGCCGCGTCGCCGCACCACTTTTTGGGCAAGCTCCATACCAGAAACCGGAGACTTTTTTTTTTTTGGCCTAAAGTAGACTGTAAAAACCTACCACCGACCGTAGATAGAAAGGAAGATCTGAATCTAAAGCTAGAAAACAACCAATTTAATCAAAGTATCGGTTTGGGAAAATGTACATAGGCCTAGGGGTCAGTCTCAGAAGGTGAAACGCTACCATACATGTATCATGTATTTTACGCGGTGGAACAGTTACTTACCATATTATTCCACAATGAGTTGCCGGTCTCCGCATGACCCTTGGCACCGAAATGGAAACAGTCGGGTGCAAAGTAAGAAATGTCCCCGAAACCCTTATAGGAATGAAACAAAATGTATGATTATTCTACTGGGTTCGATCAAGCAAAATCCGGCAACATGACTAATTTGGGGTTTAATTTCAAGACCTCCAAATTATAAGACCTATACAGGGGTCACTCTGGGGGTCTCCTGTTCTGGAGGGGGCACCGAGTGCATTTTTACAAACAAAAAGCTTTGTTTGTGCCTTTCCCAAATCTGAATGGGGCCATTCGAAATGGGGCCAAGTTACGTCAATGAAGTGGACTTACTAAAATATTTCAAGAGAGAAGAATTAAACCTCTCGCCGCGTTTCTATCAAAGCTTTCAAAATAGCAGAATTTTTCAGTGGGGGGGGGGGGCGTCATGTAGATCAATGATAATTTTTTTAGAAACTCAAAATCTCAGTCGGGGGGGGGGGGCGACTGGGGGGGGGGGGCGACAAGGTTTCATGGGGGGCTGTCGCCCCCCCCACGCCCCCCGTGGCTACGCCAATGCAAAATAGCATTATTCTTATAAATTTGAGATAATTTGTTTATCTCAATCTCGCACGGAAATTTGGCAAAGATTTACAGTAGGTTATTTTTTTGCAACCACTCACATCAATTAGCGGTAATTTGGTCTCGTGGAAAAATGGCTGGTAGACAACTGTAAAATCCTCCCTGTCGTCGTACATTCCGCTGGTAACCACACCTTCCAACAAGTTCTGAAGAAAAAAAAATGCAAGAGTCACTCACCTGTAACAGAAAAGACCAAATGAAATAGTATTTCTTAACTATCTGACTATCGAATCATTAATGTGTGTACTTTATTCACGTGGTATTGTTTACCTGGTACTGCAACAGCGTTGGTAACCACTCATTTTGTAATTCGGACTCTGTAGCGTTCGAAATGCAAGGGCAGAAAACGCTGTACCAAAAATGGAAAAAAGTCAGTAAAATAACAAGTTAGTATTCTGTTCATTCTGAAATCAAGTTTGTCTCCTTTGTTCGATTTTGTACTAAACAATTTATAAGCAAATCGACAATACTTATTCTTGGGCTTATTGAGTAATATTTACCTGTGGCTGACGGCACATACTGATCCAGAAAGAAGGTTTAATTCTCGCAGGTCAAGAATGCCCATAACACTAACCAAGGTCCGAGGCATCTGTAATGTAATTTAAAAAAAGATAAATGCAAACGAATTATTATCCTGATATAGCAATAATCGTTTCCCCCCAGAATTTTACCTTGGACGCTTGTTGTTAAAGCTTCATCGGTATACTTTTGTATGTATAATGATTTTTATTCCTAATTCAGTATTGACGTCACTCTTGAAATGGCAGTTCAATGGACGTTATTTCTATTAAAGAAAACAATAAATAACCAGTGCATTTCGTTTTGCACGAAGGATTGCGATTTCGTCAGCTGCAGCTTTTTCAAAGCAACACAGCCACAGTGTGTCACTTCGAACGGTCTGGTATAGGCCTAGAATTTATACAAGGGTCGGCCATATTATATTGAAAGCGAAGTAAACTCCGAAAGCAATTAAATAAAAGTTCATTACAAATTCATGCCAGTCTATTCTGATGAATAATTTAAAATTTGCGATTAAACATCCAATTGTTTTAAGCCACTTTAAAACAAAATTGAAAGTGAGGCTTGGAGCGCACTCTTATCAGAAAATAGTCTGGCACCATCCCATTCAACAGTTTACACTTTATGAAATAGATTCAGGCAACACGATCGAAAATAGCTTCAGCTCTATTGTCAATAAGTGTGTGAACGCGCAGTGACCCTCGCATCCAAGTCTGCCATGTCGGTTGTGTTCAGTCACAATTTCATAACCTGTGATTTTACTGTTATCTTTTTTGTCGCTCCTACCTGGTCATGTAGCACCTGTATGGCTGCCTGGATGTTGCTCACATACGCACTCGGTGAATATTTCTCCGGGTTCTTGCACACTGCACATAGGTCATTGCCTCCGATGAAAATGGTAATCAGTTTCCAGTCCTTGTCGTAGTCGATGCTGGCATCGTCCTTCATCTTCTGCACGAGATTCTCCGCTTGCTCGGGAATGTCACTGCATTCGAAAACAAAAGTTTCCCGGTGAGGCAAATTCTTTAGTGTATCCAAAAGGATATATATTCCTCACAACTACTTCTTTGACAGTTCATGACTGAGAAAACTTCAGAAAAATTCCTCATCAGAGCATTTTTTTTAAAGGAATCCTTCGCACATCAGAAAGAATCAAAGTCTAAATCGATGAACCGGTGTCATTCAAGGGCGGATCCAGGGGGGGGGGGGGGGGGGGGGGGCAAAGGGGGCCATGCCCCCCCCCAAAACGAAACCATTTTTAAATTTTTTTTATGTGACATCGCAATAAAGGCAGGCAATGAGTACACCACCATCTTTTCCTCAAAAAACATTGGTTAAAGTGGTCAGAAATTGCCTCAGATCGCACCACAGAGCATCTGGAATCCAATTTTTTTTGGGGGGGACAATTTTTTTTTTGGCCCCCCAAAAAATTGTGTTCTGGATCCGCCCTTGGTGTCATTACCATTAAGAAACATATTGGGAAAAGTAAAATGATAAACAATTTGTAGTTCTGTGCTACTTACAGAGCAACTGCACCCGGTACTGCCACGTTCATTCCAGCATTCTCAGAGGCCCAGGCCCCGGTCGCTATACCGTACCCTTTTAAGTTCGGGTTGTATTTCCGAAGAATATCTGCAAAACAAGGGAAAACTCAGGAGTAGTACATTATTTTGTAAACATACAGTATACATGATGTAGGCTTGCATAACGTATGCAGGGTACACTACTATGACGTAGGTCTTAGCTTTAAGCATCATTTCATGGGGCGTGCTGTTGAAACCGTTTCCTTACTAACTTTTTTTCATTCGTTCATAAAGCATTATGAAGCTGAAACGTACCTGATTATTGATCTTCAACAAAGCAAATTTGAAATGACTGAATATGGCCCAAAATCCCCGGGCCGCAATTACCTTTTTTTTTGCAACCAAGTAAAGTCAATGACTCTATAATGCACATGCGTCAGTTGGTAACGGAATGGTTCTCGGACTTTGCTTCCCTTAAATAAATAAAAAAGTAAATTAAAGAAAAAAAATACAGAGCCACGAATTAGAAAAAAGGTGATTAAAAAAAATACAAATTCCGATTAAAAATTTAGTTATAAAACGAATAATTATTCACTTCAGTGAGAAAAAAAGAAGGATTTTTAATTTTTTTTTAAGATTCGAACCCACGGCGTCCAGTATATCCAAAAGGCACCAATGTAAGCCACCCCCGCCAATGGTAATTCTTACAAATCTAAGCCATATAAAAGTTATCTCAGATCACATGGTTATAATGCCCATCACGTGATAAGTTTCACGCATGCGTATTATGATAAGTGACTTTAGTTGGTTGCAGAAAAAAATATGTCTCGGGCTTTCTTCTGTTTGCTAAAAAGTTATTTGTCCTCCATTAAAAACAAAAGTCAGTACGAAACTCGTAACAGGTTTAAATAATCTTACTGGCAATAGTTGGTACCGTCTCAAAACTCTCGTCTCCGCCATGACTGTACAATGACAACAAAACAATCATGTTATATTTACACACTAATAGGTCATTATAATCAAAGGTATATTTTTTTTATTTTGCAGAGTGAACAAAGAATTTAATGAGTGTTGACTGATCCCATATACGACTTGAACTTGTCAGCATCCCACCCTTCGTGTTGCTACCCATCACTGGCCGCGCAGCACGTTGTGACTTTCCACAAGTCCCGAACATGGCAGCTGGAACGTCAACATACACTCTTAAAAAGTTCTGGGTGAGACGTGACCCAGAAGTTCCGGAACCCGAAACATGTATGACCCGTTACTTGTCATGGTCAAAACGACACTTTTCTCTATGAACATGATACTTTTGATCTAGAGAAGTGTCATTTTGACCGGCAAGAGTGTCATTTTGACCTTTAAAATGTAGGCATATCAGATCAAACATGTCCCGACTCCCGGATCAATTCATAAAGCTTCGATTCGATATTCAAACTCTGCTTTATTCAAATGCAGTATCTTTATTTGCTCTTAAAAAGAATCTCCCCTTTTCCGTTTGATAGAAGGGAAAAAATCAAGCATTCAGTGAAATTTGAAAAAAAAAAAATATTTTCAAGGTCCCTTTGATCAGCTCTCACCTGAATGTCTTGCCTCTATATTGCAGTAACATCTGCGGCAATGAGCAGGCTCCACCGCCACTTGCTGCCTGGAATAAAAACGTGGGATACAATCGTGGTATTCCGCCGCGAATAAACGTAAGAACTATAGGACTGCACCCTAATTCGATTTATACTCTGATATGTTAGGTATAAACGCCTTTGTGCGTCTTAAATTACAACATCACTTTTACATTTTCTGCTTCGTATCGACCAGCGCCCAAATTCATTCAGCTAAGCGCACAAATTTGCTCTTATAAGGAAGAGTTTGCCCAAGACCGAAACACAATCTGATTGTCATAATACATGTTGTCCTTAATATTTTGATGGTTAAAAAAATAAACAGACCCGACATTTGTGCAAATTCTTCCGATTGTTGGTGAGATTTTACAGAGTCACCTTGCACCGAGAAAGAATCACACTGCCGAAACTTAATTTTTAACAGTGTATATATGTCTCGTTAATGATCTTGTAACTTCTGCTTCACGGTAAGCTGCACGAATCTTGAAAAGCGGTATATATTACAACCATAGGGCAAAAAACTTTTGATAAAATTGAAAGGAAAGAGGTGAAAGGTTTGACTATATATTAACCCTAACTCCCTGATGTTTCACAACATCAGGGAAACCGAGCTTGACCGTACTTTTATTCTCCAACATTTTAGCAGTGTATACTCTCAGTCGGTTTGCGTGCAATCCATACAATCGTCCAGGATGTTGTTGCTTTATTGTTGTACGCATGAGACTTACCGAAAGTGAGTCCCCTAGTGCTCCAATCACATTGATATCAGAAGGTCGTAACTTGTGCACTGAATGAATAACGTGAAAAATAAGGAAGCATTCATGTTTTATTGGATCATTCAAATATGGCATTCAATTGGTGGAGAAATGAGATCTTTTGCAATTGAGCCAAGTACACAATGTTTTCTTTATTGTTTCCTTTCTAAAGAGAATCATGCGTGTTTTACAAAACTAAAAACTCTATTTTTGTCTTCAGTGTAAACTCGTTGCCATTCAGTTCTTGCAGTTAGGATGTGAAAAAAAATCACGTGGGAGGTTCCGGTTATTTGTTCAATGGTTGCATAAGATTTGCAACCGCTGCTTCAAAGTGAAGTATAATACTCATATTAATGTGCTGCGGTTACAAATAAAAATGCTTTGAATTTGAGTTATTCCCGTAGAAGTAATATTTTGAAATGCCATGTTCAGAATCGCTGTCTCCGAGTCAGTAGATATTGGACGACAAAGTCATTGAGTGACTATGCTTCTAAGGCGCAAGTTTAACAACCGTCATTGACTTTGTCATTAGGCCACTGCATGGTATTACTTTACTTTTAATTTGATCATACTTCTAGCTTTTAGCATCAAAATAGTCTACGTGGTTCTCACCTGAGTTGGGGACCGACGGAGAGGGAGGAAGGATTTGACAGGGAAAGATCTGCACCTCGCCGTGCTGAAACAAAAGAAATGCATTCATTTTAATTTCGACAGAGGTATTCTGGTGTTAACGCTGCACATGTTATATCATGTTAAGATGTTTGTCCGTCAAATCGTCTAAGTCTCGTTACTTACCGGCCATGTTGGATCCCCCGTGCAGTTATATCCCGGCAGTAAAGTGATGAGATCCCGGATGGTTCTGTTCCAGTCGCTGTAGTCATCGGCAATGACACCATCGTAGTCATACTCAAAATCTGAAAGATCGGAAACAATATAAGAAGCAAGTACGACTACACAAAGTACAAACATAATTATTCATACCTTTTTTTTTAGGCCTGAAAGCATTAAATGTAACGCACGTAAAACCAATCAGGAGTGATAATTTCACAGTTTGTAATGTAATGCTTGTTCCAACTTATTCCATTTCTCTCCATGTACTGTGGCGCAAAAGAAGGAAACCCACTCTTGACAGCAATTTTCACCAATAACTTTTGAGCATATTGCAAAAATGTATTTCAACTTCAATTGATTTTTTGAAACATAAGTGATTGCAAATGCACAAACACCTGTTTGTCCACGGAGGTCTTAAATTCATCCCATCCGCTTGACTGAGCACCGGAGCTTCATTTGAAGACCAAAACACTGCTCCAGACTTACAGGTAGACAACAGTGATTTTGATGACTTGTATCCATTAGCCTATTGACACCATTCTTGCGACTTTTTAAAAGATTTTTTTCACCACGTATGGTTGAACATACTACATTATGACAAAAAAAACCAGTTCAAATAAGTTAAGTCAGTCGGTTTAAATTCCGGGGTGCGCTCATTAGTCCAATGCCTCATAGGTCCGACGCCTCATAAGTCCGACAAACTCGCATCCCCTAACCAAATAAAGGCCCATAAGTCCGACGCCTTATAGGTCCGACGCCTCATATGTCCGACGCCTCATTGCTCCGACGCCTCAAAGCTTCGACGCCTCGTAAGTCCGACATATTAAACGCCTCGTTTTTCCGTTGTCGGACTTATGAGGCATCGGACTTATTAGGCTTCGGATCTATGAGGCGGAATACATAAATGTTATGCCTCATAAGTCCGACGCCTCATAAGTCCGAAATTTCGGACTTATGAGGCGTCGGACCTATGAGGCGTCGGACTTATGATACGGCCCCAAAATTCCTGTCAAAAGTGGGTTTTAATTACTTTTGCACCACCCTGCATATCCCGCCAAATATCCAATATCCGAGTATCGTATATTCAAGCACTTTGAACTTTCTACTCACCTTGCAAGACTCCGCTATGCACTGCTCCCGCCACAATCAAGATCACGAGGATTGAACCTACTGATGCACTTCCAGAAATCATGGCTCTCGGCTGTTCTTTAGTCTTTAGACCGCAAAAAAGCTTGCAAACCGCTTGTCACGCCGGAAGAACTCAAGCCAATGTTAAGCAATTGATATTGTTTTGAGACTGTGTTGAATCATCGCGGACAGCCCAGAGACTCAAGTTGTGATATTCTGTCCCCATTTATTTTGATTCTAATAATTTACTCTACGGATTTGGAAGATAGCAACGTAATCAAAGACGACAATTAGCAAGATAAGTTCGGTGTGTTCAGACGACAGCAAGTCTAATGTTTATTTGCTCGTAAGGTCACGCAACATCATCGCAATTATACAGTTCTTTATAGATCAGGAAATAGTTTTGGCAACCTGTTCAACTATCAATATATCACTACCTACTGAATTAAATGTTTCCCCGGAAACCGAGGCTAATTACATGTAATGCTTTTATAGCACATCGGCGATCACTTCAGTAAAAAGTGACCTCTCACGGCAGGAATACATAGGCCCTCGTCTTCCATCATATACATCAACAATTGTCTATAAAATACGCATTTTAAAAAGTCTTTTAACCCTTTTCTAAAACTGCGATAGACAATCTTGAACTTGAAGGCAGTCTTGAATAATCGAAGTGAAGTGACGATGAGGTAGTTACTGGTTGCGATTTGTCAATGTATGAACAGCAGAATAACACCTTTAATAGAGGAAATCGCGCAGGAACAGTTTGAACTTTTTTTCACGGCGACCATATTGAATTCCCAGAATGCACTGGAGTTGATTTAGAGACATGCTTAAAAGCTTTGGAACAGAAAACAATTTCCGACAAAACAAATAGATATTTCCTTTGCTCATTTAAAAAAAACACTTTTTCTCGTTAATTTTTAAACCAGGTCCCACATCAACCATCGTCATTCTACAAATTTGGTTTGAATTGGCATAGAAATCAGAGAAAGTCAACGAAGTGCATGCCGATTAGTCGAAGCGTTCCGCAGCGATTTAATAAAGAAAAGGAAAACAGTGTGAAGGACACATTAAATTATATACAAACTGATTTTTTTTTTTAATATGACAATCTGGTTCTTCATCAAGTCTGTAAATAACGACACAAAGGAATGTTCCCCAGATACCCTTTGAACTCGTCTTACCACAACATCGTCATTTGAAGAACTGTTGAAGTCATTATAAAACCGAGGGAGAATTGAGATTAAATTGCGAATTCTGTTGAGAAAGATCAATACAAAAGATAATGCGCACTCCATAGGAACACTAATCACGCTTTTATAGGTTAACAACTCGCTGTTTAGATAATGAAATGTTACATCAACAATCAAAAGATCAAAATATGCTTTGTTTACTTCAACGGCCATAATAGTCGATAATCTAAACGGCACTACAACGGTTATTTGAGTGCAGTGAAACTCTAAAGGTATCATATCATTTGAAGCGCCGTGTAATGCGTAGTAACAACCTCTACCTGTCCTAGCTAGGAGACAATCCGATAGCTATCCCTGTGAGTGCAGATGATGTTGAACTATGGGCACACGGAGACTAAACGATGTAATAATTCAAATGGTTAAAAAACGGTCTGCGATTAACTTATCAGATTTTGTGATTTTAAATCCAAAATAAAGAATCATCAATTAATCCAGACCCGAGATATACAAATAAATCCATATATCATTCAATTTTAACATGTGCATTATATTATCAACCATATTGCCTTCCTCAGTTCCACATTCGAAAGCAATCCTCATGTAGACAATTTCACTTTTGAGTGTTAAATTAATTCTAGTGCACTTTACATGTGTAATATCTCTCTATTTATACAGTTCTCTGTCTTGTAAGTAAATCTAACAAATACTGCGAATAAGTTTACAAAGTAATGATACATTTTAACGGTTACTTATAATGTGATAAACAATCTGCGCTATATGACTCGGTATTATGTAGACATGTACGTGCATCTTACATATTTAAGAAGTTGAGCCATTGTGACAAAATAAAGGGGAAATAGAAATGGTCTTTCTTGCTCATAAATTCCCTTGCTCTTTTCAACAGTTGGTCTATAAAACAGAGGGTCTACAAAGCCTGGGATTGAAGTCAAAGACTGATATGCGATTTTGACCCGTGTTTGCCATGTGGAAGTCGTTTACACTTCAACCCCGGTACACGTAACGTTAAGGCAGTGCATGGCAATACAGGAATATAACAATGAGTAGGCATAATCTCAACAAAATTGCAAATTTGGTATTGTAAACTCTTGACCGCCCCCCCCCCCCAAACAAAAACACCCAAATCAAAACAAACAAACAAACAAACAAACAAACTTCATATCGGGGACAATGCAATATAAGACGGCTACCGTTGCGGAAAAACAAATGTTATACGCTACACATCGGAAAATCAACAGTATGAAAAAAATCCCGGTATTTGCGTGTTATGTCACAGTAGTTAAGTTTTTACTTTCCGGGTATTTCAGGAAGATAACGAGGTAAAGGGTGGACGGTTTTGTTTGATTGTTAAGGATTGAGGAGTTTATTTATTCAGGAATACAAGAAGAGCCAGTAGCAACTGCAAGGCGAGTACGAGCTGATGACACGGCTCAACGGACTGGATTCCCCCATCCACCACGCCGTCTTTATTTTTGATTGTAGCAAAGTAGGGATATTTCTGAAGAAAGCAAAAAGGTTAATACATTATTCACAATGTGATTTAATCCATTCCTACTAATTGTGAGCTCGTCATATAGGTGGATTTAAACCCCCGTTTTACCACCGCTGAAGGCTGCTTAAAACAGTATACATGGCCCTCGGCATAACTGCTGTATGTTCCGACACCCTATGTTCGAACACGCCTGTGTGTTTCGTTTAGGGTAAGGGTGAGGGTTAGGGTAAGGGTTAGGGTTAGGGTGTGTGTGTCGGAACATAAATGTGTCGGAACATAGGTGTGTCGGAAGTTGTGTCGGAACATAGGTGCGGAACATAGGTGTGAAACCAGGACAACATATTTCCGTTTTCTTATTTTATTGGGTTTTTTTTAAAATTAAAACGCATTATTTACGATTAAATTTGAAATTGATTTTTTTTATCGTTTATACATAAAACGTCTTTTGCATTAAGAACAAATATATACCCTTCAGAGAGACGCGAACAAATAATCCAGTGATTATCGTCTGTGCTCGCTTGCACATAATTCATACAGTGTTGTACAGAGGGAGTTAAGGCGGCCTCATATTATATAGAGAGGGCATTCAAAGGGTACAAAACAGCTCATTTTTTGCCTTTCCCAATTCTGAGCGGGGGGGGGGGGGGGGGGGGGGGGAGGGGGATTGGGGAACAGTCATCGACCGGGAGGGGGCGTTTCACCTAATCAATGTATTCACTAAAGCTTTTGCTTTGATCGGAATTAGGCGTAGAAAGCGCTTTGTGTAAATACATTTAAGAGATCCTTTGCCATGGTTGACAGGGCAATGCAAGAAAACACTGGTGTTAAAATTCAACATCAATGATATATATGTATATATCTATAAAGGACCAATGCAGTAAAAAAAAAACTATTCTGAATCCATCGGTCCCTTGTAAATATACTGCTGATTCTTATTTTTTTTCATCGCAGTTTTTGCAGAGAGATGCTGCAGTGGAAATTACCGACCACAAGAAAATAGGTAAGTAGTTTAATATGTAAAGGAGTGTTTGTTTGCAAGTCGTTTAGTCTGTTAACCAGTTCGGTATCATTAATGTCTGGTTTGACGTAAAATTGTGCATTAGAGGTAGGTCTACACAGGATTATCTGCTTTTGTCTAAATTTTCGTTTGAAGCAACAGAACTTATCAACATCTCAAGAAGGTTGCATAACAACTAACTTGTTGAAGATTCAGTTCAGTGGATACGATATATACAGTTGCACAAAACAGAGGAAACAGAGGAACACCATGCACGATTTGTCTCGTAAGTGAAATCATTTGCTAACGCACGTACAAAACTGTGACGGCGGGCACAGCCTTAAACCACCATTCATCGATTGTTTTCTTCCGAATAATACCATTTGAGGCGGAATAATTTAACCAGTCCTATCTTCACTTTGAGCAAGGATTGTCATGTGAAATCGGTAGGTACGTTTCCGGGTAAAGTCATAATGTTCCAATGTGTCTTTAAGTTAACTATTGGTAACTGCACATGTACATATACAAAGCGTGACATGATAATGCTTCAAAGCAAGATAGGCAACATGGTGTATGGTGCAAAAAGAAGGAAACCCACTTTGGACAGGAATTGTAGGCCTTATCTACTTACTTAACGAATATTTGAACTTTTTATTTTGGTTGTTTATAATGTAGTGAAGTAAGTGCTTCAACCGTACGTGGTGAAAAAAAAATCTTTAAAAAAATCGCAAGAATAGTGTTATTATGCTAATTTGAATGCAAGTCACCAAAATCACTGTTGTCCACGTGTAAGCCTAGTGTAGTGTTTTTGGTCTTCAAATCAAGCTCCGGAGCTCAGTCAAGTGGATGGAATAAAGCCATCCGTTGACAAACAGGTTTGGTATAACATGAACATTTTAAAGTACCATACCTCAGAGACAGCATATCCATTTGCAATACTTTTTTCGTCACTTAATGTTTAAAGATAATGCTTTTTTTCATACCATTAAATTGAATTTGAAGTGGGTGAAAGTTGCTGTCCGAAGTGAGTTTCCTTCTTTTTTTCACCACCATGTGGTGTTATTTTATTTTCAATTACCTTGGTCGGGCATGGAATTTCGGTGGCATATGGATCCCAGGCATCGGTTTTGCGGCCAACTGGCTGAAGCTGTGTACCAAACAAAGAAAAAAACAAATATGCTCACAGAGAGTTCACATTTCACTTCAATCTGAAACTCGAACTACTCTGATCCTTCTTCAACTTCTCTCTCCCAATGCCCGATTCAGCCTATTTCCAAGTGAAGTGTTAGTTGTTTTGGCAAATAATAATAATGTACAATTTACTTCTAAACATTGCTTATTAAAATCTGTCGATTGCTTTGAAACATCAAACTGGAGTGCTTACAGCTACTAGTTTGCAGATAAATAACTATAACCCTACTTTCTTTCGAAGGATTCTATTTGTTTAGATCTATCGATACTCAACGGCTTGTTGGTCTAGTGGTATGATTCTCGCTTAGGGTGCGAGAGGTCCCGGGTTCAATTCCCGGACAAGCCCAAAATTGTTTTGTTTATCCTGATTTTGTCCAAAAAATATTTTTTCAACAAATAACATTATCATCGGATGGGTCAGGAATTTTTTTTTTATCAAAGTTTGGTTTGTATTATTTCAATCACTGAATCAGTATGCCTTTTTTTCCCAAAGCTCCATTGCCATTTTGCACCCATTAAACTGTCTCATCACCTTATCAATCGCGGTGTTTTAGCGGCGTGTTGGTACATGTGTGGCTTTACGATAGAGGACAGATACACAGAGAGCAAACAATAGATCCTTTCAGTCCTCGAGCGTTGGGCTTTTTGTTGAAAAGGGTCCTCGATCGTATGGTTCATGTGCTTAGTCTATGGGAGTGTGAAATTATGTGGATGGAGGGAAACACTAAGCATTGTCCTCGGGCGTATAGAAATTCACGCACACCTGCTCTTACATATGGGCACTTATGGGGTACCGGCAACAAAGGGCAACAATAGGGACAATGGTACCCTGCAAGTACGGTCTTTAGAAATTGAAGTATCCCATAGCCGTAGCGCTATGTATTTTGAGATTTCTAAGGCGACAAAGGAGAACAAAAGAAGGGGATTAGGGACGACCAATAGTGGTACCCCGTAAACCCAAAATGATTAGTGTGTGTGTCCAGACGTGCGTTTCTTGCGTCGGTTGGAAGAGGGCCCAAGTTCTTTTATGGAACAGTCCCTTTATGCTAATTTAAAACATAAGGCATAATTACTCCAACAGTAACATAAGCGAAAGTTCTCCAATGCGTCAGTGGCTTGTTGGTCTAGTGGCATGATTCTCGCTTTGGGTGCGAGAGGTCCCGGGTTCAATTCCCGGACAAGCCCTCAATTTTTTTTCCGTTGAACTCTGGTTCAGCCATTTATTTCGTTTGACGACGTCATTGTGAAGAATGTCCCTTTCAATATGACAAAGCTCATAAAATCCCATGTTGATTATCGTGATTCGGTTAGATTTGTTTTATTTATATTGAAAATAACTTCACCAGGTTGTTGGTTTGAACTGACCAAGGAAAAAAAAATAGGCAAAAACTATGATTTTTTAAAATTCGTCCGTTCTAAAACACGGTGACGATTTTTGAAACATCACCGAATCAGAAAGAAATCGTTCTCTGAATCTAGGTATGAGCTTCTACCTGAAGAAACACCTGGACTCTGGATGCTTGGAATGTTTGTGTAAAAATTGTGTCTTGTAACCTTTTGGCAAGAGGGATCTCAGGCTAAATTCAAACTTGTTTGGTTTTGTCCCTCACTGGAGCATTTTGATATAGGTTATTTGTTTATGCAAAAACGACTCGTACTCATTTTCCTTCGGAGGATCTTATTCTCTTTATGTCTTTCCACACTCAGCGGCTTGTTGGTCTAGTGGTATGATTCTCGCTTAGGGTGCGAGAGGTCCCGGGTTCAATTCCCGGACAAGCCCAAGCTTTTAATTTTGTTTTGAAATCCTGAATTGGTCCCAACAAAATATGTTCTCAACAGATAACGCCATCCTCACGAAATCAATATGTTTAAAACTTTTTTTCAACAGCTGCAGTGCCATTTTGCACCCTGAAACTCTAACATCACCGTTTCAGCGACGTGTTGGTCTAGACGTGTATTTCTTGCTTCGATTGCAAGTCAGAGGAATCAAGTTCTATTACAAACAGTCCTCCTTTGATATGAATTTAAAACATAAAGCCGAATTATTTCCACCGTAACATGAGCGAAAGTTCTCCTATGATTCAATGGCTTGTTGGTCTAGTGGCGTGATTCTCGCTTTGGGTGCGAGAGGGCCCGGGTTCAATTCCCGGACAAGCCCAACAATGTAATATTTTTTTCCCCTGATTTGGTCCCAACAAAATATTTTCTCAACAGATAACATCATCATCACTAAATCAATATGTTTTAAATTTTCTCTTTTTCACAGCTGCAGTGCCATTTTGCACCTTGAAACTCTAGCATCACCGTCTCAGCGACTTGTTGGTCTGGACGTATATTTCTTGCTTTGGTTGCAAGAGGAAGTTTATTTTCCTGCGGTACGAAGTATAGCAGGAAAAATTTGTCTGTATGTTACTCACAAGCTTGATGCTTGAGTGAACAGGATGAAGAATAGGGTTAATTTGAATAGAATGTCATTGAGCACGTTATAGAGTAAAGGGCGTGTGTGTGGCCGTGGTATGGCCATTCTAGCCTGCGTCCACCACGCGCTAGGTCGGTATTTTTTCATAACGACCAATAAACATGGTATATTTCATGTAAAAGAAGATGAGACACTTTTATGTATACGTACCAGTAAGTTATGCATTCAAGAATTACACAATGTATACGGCCACAAGGTTTTCCAGAGTTTTACCTCATAGAGTTTTATCTCTGGTTTTTCACCCTGGGCAAAGTCAGTTATAGAGCGAAATCATAGATCTAAAATACAGCAGCGTTATTGAAAGTGAGCTATATACGAAGACCTCAATCGTGGAAAAAGAGCTTCCATCGAATGTTTTTGTTATTACAATGTTTACAGCAATTTGAATGTAAACATGTGAATTTTGAACTGTATTAATGAACTGAAAATAAATCAGCCGACGCTAGCCATGGCGACAGGCTACATGCAACTAATTGTGATGTTTGCATGTATAATTATTGAGTGGTGAAAGGGACTATAGTTAGCGCAAGTAGTGCGCATAGAACAGACCCAATTTCTCTTACGAACAGTCCTCCTTTTATATGAATTTAAAACATAAGGCCAAATTGTTTCCACCGTAACACGAGCGAAAGTTCTCCTATGTTTCAATGGCTTGTTGGTCTAGTGGTATGATTCTCGCTTAGGGTGCGAGAGGTCCCGGGTTCAATTCCCGGACAAGCCCCAAAATTTAATATTTTGGTCCCAAGAAAATATTTTCTCAACAGATAACATCATCATCGAATGCGTGAGGACTTTTTTTTTATCAAAGTTTGGTTTGCATTTTTTTCAATCAATAAATCAGTATGTATTTTTTCCAAGGCTGCAGTGCCATTTTGCACCAATGAAACTGTCACATCACTCTATCAATCACGGTCTTTCAGCGGCGAACCTGTCTAGACGTGTGTTTCTTGCTTCGGTTGCAAGAGGACCCAAGTTCTTTCATCGAACAGTCGTTTTGTGTGAACTTAAAACTTAAGGCCAAGTTATTCCCACAGTAATAAAAACGAAAGTTCTTCAAGGCGTTAGCGGCTTGTTGGTCTAGTGGCATGATTCTCGCTTTGGGTGCGAGAGGTCCCGGGTTCAATTCCCGGACAAGCCCAAACTTTTGTTGTTTTCGTTTAACACTGGTTCAGCCACGATTTATTCTGTATGAGACGTCTTTGAAGAATTTCCCCTTCAATGTGACGAGGCTGATAAAAGCCTATAAGTTGCTTACCGTGATTTGATTGATTTCTATTGATCATGAAAATATCTTCACCTGGTTGCTTGTTTAATTTTGACCAAGAAAAGAAGGTTTGGCAAAAGTTAAGATTGTTTTTTATTTAGTTATTTAATTCATCGGTTCTAGAAACGGTGACGATTTTTAAAAGTTCACCAAATCAGAAAGAAATTGTTTTCTGAATCTAGGTATGCGCTTCTACCTGAAGAAAAACTTGAACTCTGAATGCTTGGAAATTTTTTTTTTTATAAACTGGAGCATTTTGATATAGGTTATTTTGTTTATGCAAAAATCACTCGTACTCATTTTCTTTGGAGGATCTTATTCTCTTTATGTCTTGCAACGCTTATCGGCTTGTTGGTCTTGTGGTATGATTCTCGCTTAGGGTGCGAGAGGTCCCGGGTTCAATTTCCGGACAAGCCCTAACTTTAAAAAAACAATCTTTAAATCCTGTATTGGTCCCAACAAAATACGTTCTCAACTGATAACACAATCATCACTAAATCAATATGTTTAAATTTTTTTCACAGCTGCAGTGCTATTTTGCACCCTGAAACTCTAACATCACCGTCTCAGTCACGTGTTGGTCTAGACGTGTATTCCTTGCTTCGATTGCAAGAGGAACCAAGTTCTATTATGAACAGTCCTCCTTTTATATTAATTTAAAACATAAGGCCCAATTATTTCCCCCGTAACATGAGCGAAAGTTCTCCAATGCTTCAGCGGCTTGTTGGTCTAGTGGCATGATTCTCGCTTTGGGTGCGACAGGTCCCGGGTTCAATTCCCGGACAAGCCCAAACTTTTGTTGTTTTCGTTGAACTCTGGTTCAGCCACGATTTATTTCGTTTGACGATGTCATTGAAAAATTTCCCTTTTAATGTGACAAAGCTCAGAAACGGTGACGATTTGTGAAAAATCACCGAATCAGAGAGAAATCGTTCTCAGGATCTACCAAGCTTCTACCTGAAGAAAAACTTGAACTCTGAATGCTTGGAATGTTTTTTTTTATAAATTGTGTCTTGTAACCTTTTGGTATGAGGGATCTCAGGCTAAATTCAAACTAGTTTGGTTTTGTCCATCACTGAAACATTTTGGTATAGGTTATTTTGTTTATTCAAAAATGACTCGTACTCATTTTCCCTTCGGAGGATCTTATTATCCTTATGTCGTACAACGCTTAGCGGCTTGTTGGTCTAGTGGTATGATTCTCGCTTAGGGT